AGGCAGATATATATAGAAAGAATAACGCCAGCCGGCCTATAAAGGCCTATGAGACACATGTTACACAGTATAAAGCATGTAATATAAAAAAGAAGTTTATAAAACCACTTAAGTGCATTTGAAATACTAAGAAAATTAGAGTTACGAACCATGGGGTTTTATAAATTATGTAATGAGGGACTAACGACGGTTATACATTGTAGACAATGATACGGATATTTCCTTACACAGGGAATTATTGGACATAAGGTAGAGAACTGGTCAACTGTAGACAGCTGAGGGAAAGAAGGATTAAGAGTAGAAGCAATCTGAAAGAGGTCGTAACGCAAATCAGCATAAAGTTGAAAAAACATAAGAAAATGAAGTTCATCTTCGATAGAATTACTGTTGAAGAACTCACATATTCTCACCCCAAGGGGGATAACTGGACGTGAAAACCTACCAAGTTCTACCTGCAGCGGGAGTGTTCCACAGCGGAATTTACTTAGTATACTTCTCTCGCTTCTATCAAGAGGAGAGTTGACATAAGTTTCAACATGTAAACTATTTTTAAACAAGCTGTATGTTCGTAGTTTATTTCCATTAACGTTTCCTTTGTCATCCCATAATTTGGTAAACCAGTTAATATAATCAGCATAGATCAAACCCTGTTTTGAAAGATCAAATTCACATGGCGAAATGTCATAAATATTAGAAACAGGCAACTCTCAAGATGAAAGGAGAGATAAAACTTTACTGTACCATGATTTACTAAAATTGGAAGACCATCTGTTAACTGCAAAAACAAGTCTTGAATGCTGAACATAATTAATACGACGCCAAAAACGGAGAATTTCAATGTACTGTTTTGTAAGACAGGACACCCAACCCATGTCACCACGGACTGCAACATTCGGGGTTTTGTTACTCACACCGAGAAAAAAGCGACATGCTCTGTTTTGGATGTTATTGATACATCTGAATTCCTTAGTTCCCCAGATGGCTGAACCATACGATAAAATAGGTTGCACAAGGTTTTCGTAGAGAGTATTATAAAGACTATAAGGTAAACCACCAACTGACTTAAATTTACATATGATGGCACCCAATGCACGACTTGCAGACTTGGCTAGCTCGTTCACTGTAAAATTTAGGTCAAGATGCTCATGAAACCAGAGACCAAGATATTTGTATGCATGAGTATAATCAATGACATTGTTACTTAAAGTAAAAACAAATTTTGATCGGGGTATTACATTTGGGTGGAAATGGATGACGTTTGTTTTTTTAACGTTGACTAGCATCCAACGGGCGCACCAGTCGCTAACACACTCAAGCATACGTTGCAAGCAACACTCGTCCGGGGCTACAGTCGCTAACACACTCAAGCATACGTTGCAAGCAACACTCGTCCGGGGCTATTAAATAAATATCGTCTGCATAAAGCAGAGTACTCAGCATTGTATGATCAATGTATATACCGCAGTTCCAATTGTTGATTTCACTGACAAAGTCGTTTACGTATACTGAAAATAATGTCGGCGACAGGACACAACCCTGTCGAACTCCAGAATAGACTGGGAATATATCAGTGTGCCTCTTGTTTACACGAACATATGATTTAGTGTTGTTATACATTGACTGAACTTCATGAAGAAATCTACCATTTATACCTAGACATAAGTTTGTACCACAGACACTCTCTATTGACAGTGTCAAATGCTTTTTATATGTCAATGAAGCATACATAGGTAGATTGTTTTAAACTTTTTCTGCTATTGGTAATTGAGTACAGAGTATACAAATGTTCTTGAGTACTACGTTTTGTGCGAAACCCGTTCTGTTCGTTAGCTAGAATGTTATTCCCTTCTAACCATGTATTTAACCGCGTATTTAAAATGTCAGAATAAAGTTTACATGGAACTGATAAGAGAGATATGCCTCTATACCCGAGGGGGGCACGGGGATTTCCATCAGCTTTATTAATGGGATTAATGATACTTGTTTGCCAAATTTCTGGACAAGAGTAAACAATTTCAACAGTAAATCAACACAATAACTGTTTTTTAGTGCTTCTGTGGGAAGAGAATCAGGACCTACAGTTTTACCCCGTTTTGCACGTGCAATAGCACGCTCGACCTCAGCGCGAGTAATGTCGGTTAGTAGGTCAGTAGTGTCAAGCATTACATCACAATTGACCCCATTAGCTAGGTCACGCTGCACTCTCTGTAAATGTTGTTCACTGAATTTTTCAGAAGAGTTATCAGTGTAAAGTGAAATAAAATCGTTCTTTCACTTATTTAGCACAACGTTTCTGTCTGAAATCACAACACCGTCCTGTTCGACTTCCCAGGGAATATCATTTGCTCTATCGTTAGCAATACCTAATTTGCCGATTGTCTTTCAAAAAGCGCTGGAGTCTGTGTCTTCACTTTTGTCGAAAAGTCGTCGCTGTTCATCACGTTGGTTAGAACTTTTACATTTTCTATGCAATTTATCGAACAGTTTACGTTCGGCTACGTACTTATTCTTAAACGGTCCTGTGTTCTGCATTTCAACCACAGCTTTTCACATGCACAAACCTTATCCCACTGCTTCTGGAGAGACTCGCACCAGTACAGCTTATAGAATGATTTAGCTCTGGGACTGCTACTGGTGCGACGGCCTTAAGGCACCGCCACCTTGTCCAGCTCAGTGTACATGAAAGAGAGGAAATCAGAATAAGCGGCAGTGATGTTCTTATTGTTATTTAACTGAATTTCTAATTTATGTATAAGTTCATTAATCTCAGGTATATTTTCTTTGGACAGAAATGAATTAGTGATCTTACATTTGTTATATTTTCTCTTGGTGTCAGAGTCAGACTCAGGAGAGTTATCCTGGGCGAGGCTCGGGGGCTCTGGCTTTGGGGGTGCTCGGATCTTCCATGTCAACATGGAGTGGTCTGGAAGGCTGTCGGGGACATTACTGCCATCAACGAGAGATGATACACGAACAATATAAAAGTCTGTGAAACAGTGAAGATTCTCATGAGATGTAACCACATAGTCGACAACTGAGTGTCCATTTTTGATATACGTAAAGTCTTGTTTCCCTGTTCTCCCATTGAGGATACATATTACCATCCACCAGAAAATCTAGAAAGAGGTCGCCATAGGCATTATCCTTGAAATCAATTACTTCCCTGTCTGGAATATGATCAGCTCCCTGTATATAGTCACACTCATCACCGATCCTAGAGTTAAAGTCACCACATAACAGCCCTTCATTCTGGAATACATAAAGCTGTTCAAGAAGCTTTACAAAGAATTGTTCACCATCGTTGACACGGGTGGAGCATGTAGGGCGGGGGGTAGCAAACACATACTGCTATCTTAAAGTCAGAGTATCTGGATGATAGCCTCAGCCATAGAATATCTTCATAGTTGTTGTCGAGGACTTCTACTTGATATGATTGCAAAATGGTGTTTGTTACAAGGAGCTGAGACGAAGAGACCCAGCTATCATAAAGTAATTAGGGTCCAGTGTAAACAATGATACGCCAAACCTCACAAATATTATCACTGAAAGTCGTACTACAGATGGTTAATGTCAAATCACAATAAAAGCATTTCAACGGCAATAACATTTTCCAGGACCATGTATTCTCTTAACACGATCGCCTTCAGAAGGAATGGCCGTATAAAAAGATGGATCTATTTAATCACAACGGTACTCATGTTTTTCCCACAAAATCACGTCTAAAAAGGAGACATCAGCAAGTACATATGTATTATCATTTTTTGTCAGGATATCAAAGTTTTCTCTCCTTGTTACCACCTCCAGGTTCAGCTTAAAACAGGTCCTCCTTTAGTAAAAAGTTTTTTCCCCCTGAAATGAGTGTTTTTGAACATGAGTGGCGAGAGGGGTGCATACCCGTTAATATATCACGTTATCTATTTATTACAATTTGGGGAATCAGTGTGGTGTAATTAGTGAGTGAGTGAGTGAGTATGGTTTTACGCCGCTTTAAGCAATATTCCAGCAATATCACGGCGGGGGACATCAGAAATGGGCTTCACACATTGTACCAATGTCGGGAATCGAACCCGGGTCTTCGGCGTGACGAGCCAACGCTTTAACCACTAGGCTACCCGACCGCCTCCAGTGTGGTGTAAAAGTGACTTATATATATATGATCTACGCATTCTTTAGGCAGACTGCAAACTCATATTCGACCACACGAGTTGTACCTGAACACCTCCAATCATCCAAACCACTTTGTAGCAAACAATCTGGAAGTCTACAGATTTACGTTGTGACAACGTTACATGACAACGTTGCAGCAACGAAAAGTCAACATTGTCACAACGCAGAATTGTTTGCTGGGACATAATGATCATGAGTACATTGATCACACACAGGCGTGGGATACTGGGGCCTTAAATGTGTTGCGGAATTCCCAGGAGTCTCCAAGACGATTATGACAATGGGTAATAAGATGCTGCAGTGTGGCGTGTTATTTTTTTATTGATGTGACTCAAACATCACTTAGAAAACCTTATATTTCAAGAACCTTGAAAATCAATATTAGTGGTTTTCTTATTCCCATATGTCTTTTATATATGATTAAATCTAACATTTTTAAGTTTTAGAGAAAGGAATACGGACTTTCAATTTTATCATATGTACTTATATAACCTTGGTTAGGGATTAGGGTAAATGATATATTCTGTCAGTCATATATGGATAACAAAAATTTAGCAAGTCGAAAGATGAAGCCGAACCTCTTAATTTTTAAACATTTACAGTCGAACCCTGGAACTCCTGGGGACCTACAAGTTCGACCTATCCGGGATTCGACACATCCGACACGACTATTACACAATCTGACCTAGCCATCAGAAAGAAATCCCACCATGCATGTTAAGTAACATTTATATAATCAGAAATATAAGCAGAAGTATCCGTCATATAGCACTCTTCCAATGACGCCTCAATATTCCCGTTATTAGACATCTCAGTAGAGCGAAGCGATAGACTCCTCCCCGAATCGAAGTTTCACCATGCAGAATTAAATCGAACCCTACAATTTAGTAAGTGTAATGAAAATATCAATACATACGACCGTCATTAGTCTCTACCGGCGCGAGTTTACCCAAAGATCTTTTGGGTGATGTATCCCCGTGATTAAAAAAACCGTGTGAAACAAGAGACCTCAATTGAATAAGTACAAAGATGACCTTTACAGCCTTTAAAGGATTCGCCTCTTCCTGAAACAATATCTATCTTGCCCACTTCGACAAGTATTGATCGAAGTTAGAATAATGAGAGCTTATTGATCGTTTTTCTACCTGGTGGTGTTTGTGTAACGTGTCTCACAGATCTTCTCCCAGAATGATGCTGGCCCTGATACTTCTACAATTTGTCTCTGTTACAGGAAACACAGTTATCCAACACATATTTGACAGACAATCTACACTAAACAACCTTGAAGCTCAAGAGACTCCAGCCAGTATCAACCAAGTTCGCTCCAAACTGATCTGTGCAAGCCTCTGTTCCAGGGATGACATCTGTGCTGCTGTGACTTTTCAAGATGGTCAGTGCTCCATCTACCGCTCATCCTTACTGACATCTGGAAAGGCAAGACCAGGCGCCAGGACGTTGATCAAGAAACAAGGTTCGAATAATTAATATTTGCTATATTGATGGCGTATTATTCATTTCATACATTCTTGATTCACGACAGAAAATAACCCCAAAATAGGTAAAGAAAGGCCTGTTTAGACCGATAAGCCTGCAATTTCTCTATGATACATGGCCAGTGCACAAGTGTCCATGTGGGAACATTTTACACTTGCTGTTCCTATGAAATCATGAATGTAGGAACGAAAGTTACCTAAACTAACATCTCATCTCGATTAACATTCAAAGATGCTCCTCCAGTTATCTGTTACTTGCATAAGTTTTGAACTCATTGTCACCCTGAATTTGGAGAGGTGTCACTTATTGGCGACATAACATAGTTATGCTATGAAGTGAGGAGCAGTTGGTTTTATCATATGTTTGATGGACAATATTGACACTATCTTAAGTTAGAGATATCATATCCAAAAATGGACAGCACTGGCAATTAGTCATCACTCAAGGAATTCTTCTACATGGTTATATTTCAAAAAAATAATTTGATTTAGAACTTATATAACTTCCTTTCAAAATTGGCATTACCTGCAACTGCTGATGGGTATCTTTTCATTAAAAATCAATACATTTGCTTGTTTTGTCACAAACGTACAATCATTTCTTACTCCTCGATTGTACTTCAAATTTGTCAGACAACAGAGGCTGGAGGTGCTGGAATAGTGCTCGACATTAAAGGAAAGTTGAAGTCATCACGTTTGTCAGTCAGTTTTGTCCATAGGTTTTGCCACTGTTAATCATTATGCATAGAACTAAATATGCAACAGAAGAGACTGTTTCACTGGTCCTTTTAGTTGCAGCTCAAGAGAGTACATCAGTGAAAGGGAAGTGGCTATTTGACCATTATTGTTCTCTATCAGACCATCTATATAATACAAATAGTACCCGTTGGACGCCTGCTTCTTGCCTTAATGTTCTATCCCCAAATGTCACAGAGATGTTATCTATGAGGATCAAGCATTTTGATATTGTTTTCTTTGTAAACTTCAGGTGACACTTGATATCATTTTTTCACAATATGCCCTAAATCTTTGAAGACAGAGATGCAACTATATCTATGGCTACCATGTTAAGTAATAAATGACCAATGGGCCAGGGAATGAAGTTTCTACCATAGGTTTGTCGTGTGGGGTAGGGGTGTATAAAGTTAAACCATCGACTGTTTTGACTATCTTTGCAGATTTCTATTATCATTTTTGGCTTGACCATAGCATATTTTTCAGCACCTTAATGTATCTGAGGCTTCGTGAAAAACTCTTTACATTTGAACACGATTCAGGAAAGCCAGTCCATGCCTGCTCTGATGTGAAGAAGGTTGACCCCAACGCAGGAGATGGGGAATACTGGATCCACACTGATGCCCCATCTTTTATCGGATATCCATCAAAGATATTCTGCCACAACATGAACTCTGGATCTCCCCAAGAGTTCGTGACTCTACCATTCACAAAAACAGCAGTGTTTCCTCAATTAACGAACCAATACTGCATGCAAGAAACGACTGTCATGTCTGGTAACGGGATACAAAACGTTGGTACAACACATTTCTCTAAAATCCGAGTCAATATTACGGTAAGTGTACTTGTTAGTGTTAATAGAGCACCAATCAGCAATCACGATCTCCATATCACAGCACACTGTCAACAGAATGGTGACCAGACATACCAATGGTTAATATCATGACGGATTCAGAATTTATAGTCGTATCAGCAATGTCTCATCCATTTTGTGTTGAAAATACATAATACTTTCATTGAATAAAAGCGACAAAACCCTTTCCATTTTCATAAGAAATCTGCGAAATTTAGACTATATCATGAGCATTGGTTTATGAATCACTATCAAATAATGATGACACCAAGTGTTCGAGAAAAGCATGTACAGTACAATAGTAAGGTCAACATCACAGATCCAATACAAAACATGTCACACGGTTAAAAGTAACACATGTAGAAAAACACATCAACTACAATAAAGGCAATATATAAAAATCAAATGTCCACTGAGACACGCTTACAGATGTTTAAGACTTGCTGCATCAGCTTCAGAAACATTAGTCCCTGTGAAGATCCGGTTAGAAAATAGGTCTTCAGAAACCTTTGCTTATGGTAAGTCGTTAGAGGCGAGTAACGAGTTCGGGTTGTCAGACTCGCGGACTTGGTTTATGCATAATGTCAATTGGGGCGGTCAGATTGGGGCGGTCAGGTAGCCTAGTGGTTAAAGCATTCGCTCGTCACGCCGAAGACCCGGGTTCGATTCCCGACATTGGTACAATGTGTGAAGCCCATTTCTGGTGTCCCCCAGCGTGATATTGCTGGAATATTGCAAAAAGCGGTGTAAAACCATACTCACTCACTCGCTCACTCTTTTGCCTTTCAGTGTACATGTATAATGTCACTAACATTCACACAATGCCGTGAGTGGGAAAAATAATTGCAGTGGCGGCGGCGGAAATTTGATGAAACACTGTAAGCAGCCGCCCTAACCTTACTCCCCTCGTCCCATTACAGTCTCATGTCTTTGTAATACGAGCAATGCGTGCTGGAGGAAGAGGCAGCATTGCTGTTATCCATGGTTATAAAAAATGAAGTTTGAGTGTTTTTTTTAGACAATGCTTATAGTTCGTGATGACTTCACCTTAGCATCACTCCCCCAACTTTACAGGAGATATGCATAAACATTAAAATGTTACAGTATGTTAAGGTAATCACTATATTGATAATACATGCATTGCCTCCTGGAAAGGAAGGCAACATTTGTTTTATTCATGGTAATTTATTGGTTTGATTGTTGTTTTCAGACAATGGCTATTGTTCGGGATGATTTCACCTTCACATCTGGAACTGGAACAAAACGCAGGTATGGGGAGGCCAAGGACTGTTACACCGAATATAGTGAGTCCAGAAGTTGTACTCCCAAAGGCACATTCAACATCAACACTGCAGGAACTGGCATGATCATTGATAAAAAGGCAAGTGATTTTGCCTTCGCAGTCTACAAACGATTTGTCTGTATCAGGTGTAGTTGTTAAAATGTACTTTACAAAAAAGAAAGAAAGTGTACTTTGATATTCGAGGTTATTTAAAGCCCCACCCTGACTACCAATAGCCCGCAAGGTGGCGGTGTTTCAGTTTCGAACAGTGACTGATAATGGGAACACAAGCGAGTGTCGGGAGGAGCCTTTTGAAAGCAATACGTGAACAAGATCACCATTGACCGTCAAAGTTCGTATCAACTTGAATGACTAACCCTGGACACCACAAATGCCTCCATATCTAGATATAAGTCAATAAATTGTCTGTAGTTTTATCATAAAAAATCGAATTGATCGTGTTTGGCGTCTGCATCAATCACAGTGCGTGGAGCTTATTTAGGGTTGCGCTATAAATAGAAAAACACTTGGTCATGTTTACATGTGACACATTCAATGCATCTGTGTTCTAAGTGTTCTGTGGTATATATATTTACGTCAGAATAGCAGCACAACAATAGTTTTAGTTGATGTAACAGTAAAGATACATATATACAAAATTGACGTTAGTTACATAAGTATTAGGACAAAATTCTTTCAGTTCAATCCGAAAATTACAGACATTATTACACTGTTGATATCAACTGACCAGGGAGATTGTCGAGGCATTTGATATCGTGACAGATACTCATCATGAATGGAGAAAAAAATGCTTCTAAGAGAAATATTGTTGCTTTGAGCCTCAAGACCAAACATGTGTTCATGCCAAAGTAGTTTACAAGAGAGGATGGTCTTTGTAGCCAGCGACCCGAATAGATTTGATGAAAATAATGTTGAAATCCATGTTCACGCACATGACAGAATCAGTGTGAACAAATATTTATCTGAACATCGTTTCAAAATATGTGAGACTGTCCGTATTTTATCTTCAATCCGACGTGAAATGATATGAAGTTTTCGTGTCACAATGTTTCCTGCCGCTGTGGAAAATTGTGCACCGATCTAATAAAAGAAATACTACCAGATCTACCATTGCACCGTCGTAAAAGAACCAGGTCAACTTTATCTTTCTTCATTTGTTTATTAAAAAATCGTTTCCGAAGCAAAGCGACTCGAACTACATCATAAATTAATCCATAGACTAGATTCTTGAACCAAGTGCTTAAACGGATTTTTTTAAATGTCATGAAATAACTTACACAATTATTGAAAGAAATCTTTTAATAAATAATATATTTTGACGGGAAGAACACATACAAAACATATGGATGGCCTTATGCAAATGACATTTGGCATGCCAATCAACAGGGAATCTGGGTCACCCAGTTTCTCGGATCGAGTGACTTCGGCATGAGAAGCTTTTGGACAAGTGTGACTTTGCCAAAACACATTGCTACTGGGCAATGGAAACGTGACGGAAACGACAAAAAACTACTTTCGTCACATGAAAATATTTTTGACCATTACCAGTTTTTTTTAGACGAGCCTTGTCATCCAGATTCCCGATGAAGGCAAGACGAACACAACGAAAACAAACACTGTTGAAATCACCGATTGCTGTATATATTATGAGAAAGGCTATTCATAAACTGCAGATATATCGTACACCAATATGGTGCCGTGATACATATTATGTTTTGTTTGTGACACTGCTCTTATTCAACACGACACACGTATTTCGTTCTCGTCCAGAGAATAGGGCAGAGCTACATATAATTTATGTGTTGAACTGTGTTGGATAAATAGTGGACATTCCACAGTATCATTTTATGAAGATGTGAAGACGGCATGGCAGGTATGTTTTGAAACCCTTAATCTACGCGTTTGTTGAAAGGTCATGGAATCGTTTGATGGATTTTTATTACCATTAAAATATACGTCCTTGTTGTCAATCGGCCCACGTGGGTGGGTGTTTACATGACGTCACCCGTTTACGCATTAACCAATTAAATTTGTGTGTTATCATGACGTCATATTGACTTGTCAGATCACTCGTATAAGCTCCGCCCACTCAGAATGCGGTAGTGCCTACCGCAGATGCCCCCTTTAGCAGAGATGATACATGTAGGCGATGCATGCATCATAATGTGACGTAAGCATTGACGTGTGTTTGTTCTGTACAACATGTGCTTGTGTGGTCAGTCATGCAGTAGGTGGACAGCGTCCACAAACAAAATATATTTTTTATATATTGTGCAGAGTTACGTCCATTGAAGTCTATGATGGTGGGTTTGAATTCCGATTCGCCCCGATTATATTTCTAGGTTTCTCAGCACCATACCCGGGTTTCATAAAAGTAGAAAACTAGCTCACTCACTCCCTCCACCAATGTTATGGACTTCCTGCACATAGTACGGGGAATAGCGTCGATACGACGTCTGTAGATGCGACCACTTAAATCAGCACCTATCAGTAGAAAACGTGATTCATACATAAACAAAACAGTCCTTCATTTTGTCTCCACCACTGGAGACGCTCTGCAAGATGTTATTTTTTTCAGGCGTGTTTTTCAGACTTGGCGTCGAACAGCTCTGCGGGTCGACGGTACATGCCACACGCAAAAGATAGTTTTAGAATTAAATCCATTCATATCCCCCTTTTATGCATCTTGGCACTGCGAAATATGAAAGTATATCCGCCATACATTGATAATGGCATGTATTAAGAATACGAGATCAAATAATGATGCAATGATTGAATCAAATCGTGATTGTGGTAAATCTCCATTCCTTATCCGTTTGATTAGGTGGGTGGAACACATCCCCATATTGAAAACAGGTATGTTAAGTGGTAGCACCATGCCCATCTGATAAAGACAGGACAGTCATGCTGGACATAAACTAATGTCCAAAAGAAAATGTACCACGAGTTTGAAAGAGTATGAAAGAAAATCATGCAGAAAGTCAGAATGTATATATTTCATAAATGTGTTTTGGTTTAACATTATGCGTAAAACTGCTGATGTTATTCAAACAAAACTGTGGAAAATGACAAGTGTCACAATTTCATTGTCACAACACTTGTTCAATGTGACTTTAACATCTCCAAAAGCACATTAGATTGAGTCATTGATATTTTTAAAAACAAATTTGTCAAATATATTTGAGCACAACAACAGTATTTGTAACTGTTTTAAACACAGGCTACAAGCCATCAATAACCAAAGCTAGGCCACCTCGCTGGGGATAATGGAGAATCACTTTATCAAAATATGTATCTGTGAACAAATCTGTCAGTGTTTTCTGACGATGTTTTTTGTTTGATATATTGTTTTAAACAGTTTGCCAACGGACATCCGTAGCGATGGCCTGAAACAAAACACAGACAAAAATAACATTGATGTATCAGAAAACATTTTACTGCTGCTGTTACTTTAGTTTAACATGAATACCCAACTCAGACACAGTCAGCTGACTCCGAGCCGACTAGTCCCTTAATGCAGAGCACAAGGCAGGGTACCATCCTTTAACGTCTTTTGGTATCATAACGAGGCATAGTATCCCAGTGGGCTGGCATTATAAAATCGTCATTATAAAACATCTGTACTGGTATAAGCAAACACACATACACACGCACACGCACACACGCACACGCACACACAAAAAAAAGGAATAAAAAGAAAGAAAGTATACCTAGATATTCATGTTCATTTTCTGACGTTTTGACATTGGAACAATTGTTCTATCCCCATATTTCGTATCCACTGCTTCATTCCATTTATTTCTAAACCAATATCTATGTTGGTATTACAGTTATTATGGAGGAGAAAAAGTTATCCACCCCTTGTCAAATAATTTTTTCACGATAGAAGTGACCTTTATATAGAAATCTGTATATGTGTACTGGTAGACAGTATTATATATTTGTAAGACACATTGACAAATGATAACACCTCCGTAAAGATATAAAATTCAACCTACCTATTCATAACACATTTTTGTTTTCTGTTCTACATTCTAGCTTCACAGTCTCGTCTTGTCAATTACATAATAGTACCTGTTTATTCATATTTCCCAAACAGCATGAATGGGAGATCACGAATTGGAAGCCATTCCCTCCGTCAGTGAGCAGGTCAGCAGATGGTACACAGATAGACTTGCTATGTGGTGGTTACTGCGGTGGATGTGGACCAGTTGGAGGAATCTTGCTGTTGCAGCCTAACCCGAATGAGAGTAAGTAAAGGGTCACAATGTATCTGTGAGTTATGTTGTTGGTGTAAAGGGTAGTATCAGGGTCTAACTTGTAAAAGATGTGATCAAAGATTTTCAATATTAATTTAGAAGATGTTTGTACAACATGCTAAAACAGACTGTTTTCTGACCTCAACATTATCTGTCAACTTTGATCCCGAATGTTTTCTTGACTACAGTCCGTTTGACTCCAAATGAGAACGATGAATTGCAAATTAACTCGAAATCCAGAAAAGTGTATGAAACATCAATACGGTACTTGACCATGAATACCCTGTACCCAACAAAATCTGAATTTTGTTTATTTAAAGACCCATGACGGATGAAGTTCTTTAAGAAACTATCATGTAATTTTGTATAGAAATGTGTACATGACACGTAGGGGGACAAACCGTGGAAGGCACAGCGCAAGCACGGTCTGCACGTGCTACACAGTGACAGTGTTCATTCAATGACAAGATGCGCTACTCAGCAGATGTTAAACAGTTGATGTTGAATGTGTATGATTTCTTTAGAAGTGAAGCAGAAAGAGCAAAGCCTTTTTATGCAATTAGTTAATTCTTGAAACGAGCTTCAAAAGCTCTTGGTATGTCCCCTCAGTAACTTAAAAATGTTGTTAGTCGACGACATACAAATAGTCAGGCCAAGGAGGTAGGGAACATGTCAAAACCACGCAAGGTTGATAAATTAGACAGTTTTCAGAGGGATCAAGTTAGACTCAGAAAATAAGTACCTGTCCCTAAGAATTTTGAAGAAACACCTTGAAACTAACCATGATTTACGTGTAACAAAGTACAAACTATAGCAGCTGTTGCATACATTTGGTTATAAATACAAAAAGATAACTTGAGAAAATAGGGCTGTGTTGTGTGAACGGTCTGACATGGTTCGTCTCCGAAATCATTACCTTCGTACCATCAAGCAGAAACGTGAAGAAGGATATGAGCCCGTCTTCTTAGATGAGACATGGGTAAATGCGTCACACACATCCAGCAGTCAGTGGGTACCCAGTGGTGACTGTAAGGAGTCTGGTAGAAAGTTACCAATGGGAAAGGGTGAAAGACTCATAGTTCTCCAATGCTGGTTCTGCTAGTCAGGGTTTTCTCCCAGACTGTGACCTCGTCTTTAGAGCCAAGGCCAAAGACAACAGGGACTACAACACAGAAATGAACGGCAATGTATTTCTGGAGTGGGTGAAAGATAAATTGGTCCCTGCTTTGCCTACCAAGTCTCTAATTGTCATGGACAATGCACCGTATCATAGTGTGCAGGATCCAGAAAGCAAGACTCCAACCTCTAATAACCGTAAAGGAGACATGGTTACTTGGCTGCAACGGAGGAACATTACCTTTCCTTCTCGAGCGACGAAACCACAGCTCTATGAAATCATCAAAACTATGAAACCTGACCCCGTGTATAAAGTTGACAGTTACATCAAGGGTCAGGGTCACGCTGTCTTACGACTGCCACCTTATCACTGCGACCTGAATCCAATCGAGTTGGTATGGGGCATCGTCAAGGGTGACGTTGGTTGATCGAACACAACGTTCAAATTACGAGACGTTGAACAACTCGTAAAGGAATCCCTTGGTCGGGTAACAGTAGAAACATGGAGGCGTTGTATGGCCACAGTCGTTGACGAGATAGAGCCACGTTATTGGTCACGAGATGGACTACGGCCAGCAAAAGTCCAACCTATAATAGTGGCAGTCGGTTCAGGCACCAGCAGTTCCGACGACGAGTTCTATGGCATGAGCGAGTCAGATTGCGACTGAAATTATCATGAGATGGCCCCTCTAACGCTCTGTCATTTCCCCTACAACAGAACGTGCAGTGCATGCGTGCTTGCACTGTGCCTTCCACGGTTTGTCCCCCCTACGTGTCATGTACACATTTCTATACAAAATTACATGATAGTTTCTTAAAGAACTTCATCCGTCATGGGTCTTAAAATAAACAAAAATTCAGATTTTGTTGGGTACAGGGTATTCATGGTCAAGTACCGTATTGATGTTTCATACACTTTTCTGGATTTCGAGTTATTTTGCAATTCATCGTTCTCATTTGGAGTCAAACGGACTGTAGTATATATTAACGACAAAAAATAACTGTGCTTCATATAAAGTTCAAGGTCGTTTTAAGGTTGTTGTTCACAGTTTGCACGTGCATGTTATTGCACGGCGCACATTTTGGATAGTTGCGTGTTCGCACGGAACTTGACACTCAAACACGTGGTTTCATCATGTGAACAGCACAGTATCATGTGGTCATAAAAATATTTTTGTTTAATGGTAAATAACGCTTACGCAATGCCACGGCTTTTTGAAAATCAACGCAAACGCGCCCTCTGCTACAAAAGGGGCAAAACAAGATTGCCAGACATTTTTATACTCATCGAAACACAATATCATCTATTTGAAGACGTTATCTACAGCATTGTAACGTTAAAGACTTGCCATGGACGGGTTGTCCACGTGTGACGTTATGAAAATAAGAAAAACATATTCGGTTGGTTCATATCAATATCAAACTGCCACGTTAACAGCTCGGACAATTCCTGGGTTCAGACCAATTAGTGGCAGAACCGTACGCCATCGGTTGAGGGAGCACAACAACTGGCCAGGGATATGTCCAATTTTGCTTCCACGTAACGGGGGGCGGTCGGGTAGCCTAGTGGTGAAAGCGTTCGCTCGCCATGCCGAAGACCCGGGTTCGATTCCCGACATGGGTACAATGTGTGAAGCCCATTTCTGGTGTCCCCCGCCGTGATATTGCTGGAATATTGCTAAAAGCGGCGTAAAACCATACTCACTCACTCCACGTCACGGTTTCATCTGGACGGCTCTGGTGAGAACGTTTCAGCGAGGCTTACATTACTCAACGTCATCAATTTGGGGTGGAAGTGTAATGGAATGGGGTGTCATCACAACTCATTGTTAATGTCAATTTGAAAGGCGTACGCTACCGCCACGACGGTGCGAGGTCATGTTCTACCCTATGTGCAGGTACACGTTACATCACGTTGCATCAAGATAATGCCCGCCCTACTTGCTGCACTTGTTGTAACATTGCTGTACTTCCATGGCCGGCGGTTTTTTCAGACCCCCCTCCCATAAAAAATATAATTTGTTGGAGAGCCTACTACACGAACAGAACCAGTCGGTAACGCTGGTTTTGTTGATATTTTGAACATCATACCCCAGGCTGTTTTCGATCATCTGGTGTCTCATCAATGCGCCGCCTGTATCATCGCAAATCTTGGTCACACCCGACATTTACATTGTTAATAAAGTTGGTACACAACCCTTCGTTAAGGGCATGTCACTCTGTCTCCTGTTGCCAGGTATGCGTTTTCTAAAGGATTTTGTTATGATAAAGAATTGGTCAGACGAATGGCCAGATATTATGTTGTTATTGTCGATAACATGAAGCACAGTTATTTTTGTCCGTTAGTATACACAAATACTATGAAAATGGACAATCATACTTACAGCTTCTTTACTAAGAAAGTTATGATCACAAATTACTGATAAAAGAAAAAGGTATGTTGCTACCATCAGAAAAAAAGTTATATGATCTTCCTGCCTAATGACATCATGTCCGTAAACATGCACTATTCTGCGCGGTTTTATAGTCACATGCTTCTTGTTCCTTAAAATGAAACTTATTTCCACGTGCGGGTTAATGACAAATCAATTCCAGTTTGTGTAATGCAGTATGTAAAACAATGTATTCCATGCCACTAGTATCTTAATAAGACAGTTATCTGCACTTAATCTAATCTCATGACAGGGACCTTCCTCTCAGCCAAGAGCTTCCAGGCGGTTTCATATTAGTCAAAGATTGGTATTGGGCTACAATCTCTGGATTCATCACATGTGTGTAAATGTGTGAATCACATTTCTGGCGTCCTCGCTGTGATATTGCTGGAATATTGCTCAAAGCGGCGTAAAATCATACCAACTTTCACACATTCATAGACAAGAATGTAATTAGAAACAGTCGATGAAAACTTATCATGTCTCTTTGTATAATTCCATCCGATCCCGACCTCCAAATGAGACGCTTAGGTAGTGCGTCAGTAGCTTGTGGATATATATCGCTTGTCTGGAAATATGCGCCATACTAATGGCCTTTTGTTATTATTTACAGATTAAAATACAAAATGCCACAAGAGGGATTGGGTGATCCTGACAGTCAGGCTGGTTAGCCTCCTCATCAGCTCAGGGCCCTTGCCCCCTCTGCACGCAACCCAACGAGTTCAGACCCAGTATTCTGTGTCTGAGTGTGATATGTATGTTAAGCTGTGGCATGGTATCTCCGGGCGAGTACAAGCAGCCTCACTCACTCACGCACGCACGCAAGCACGCACGCACACACACACACACACACACACACACACACAGACACACACACACAGACACAGACACACACACACACACACACACACACACACACACACACACACACACACACACACACACACACACTAACACACACTAACACACACTAACACACACTAACACACACACTAACACACACTAACACACTAACACACACACTCGCCAGACCTGGCACCAAATGTTTTCCTCCTGTTTCCTAAACTTTAAAAAAAACCTATGTTGAAAGCGCTATATGAAGACAACGATGACCTCAAATCTGCTGAAAATGGGTTTTCAGGGTGGCTTCAGAAAACTTCTTCCTGCCTGGAAGGAACTAAAAAGTTTCATTATCGATATGAGAAGTGTATTGAAAAGCGCGGAGATTATGTTGAAAGATAAAATTGAAAACACTTTCACAATTGTTGGTTTTGTTTGTTAGGCTTAGAACTTTTTTGACCAGCCCTCGTATCTGTGGTTTGTTTTCAAAACAACGAATTACGCATACATTTTAGGATCAACATTAAAACTTGTCTTTGTCACTAATACAAATGGTCTGCATGAAATCAAGCGAAATAAATCAGATGTGAAAACGAACGCTGTGTTGGCCT